CAGCAGGAAAACACAAATTTAGAACAGAGTTTATTATTTTCAAGGCCAGGAATTGTAAGCCTTATAGTAGCACTACTGACTTGTAAATAAACAGTAAAAAGGAGGGGGGAAATCTATCGTGCATGATAATATTTCTGTCGTAAATACTGAAATTATATCTACCTAGCAAAAAGAGCGCAAACAATGCTTCTGAAATACTTAACACTTCAACTGTTCAGAGAAACACTTGGATACTGCTACCAAATAAAAGATAACAAATTGTGAAATGAATATCCCTTCTTTTCATTCACACTTACTTCACATTACTTGAGATAACAGGAGATTATCTCAAATTCATCCCTTGTAGAAAAAACAAGGATACGTTCCCAACCGCGGATGTGGTATACTTCCACACCGTTAAAACATTTATATTATCAGTTTACATTTCCTCAACAACTTTTGTCATAGAGATTCACACAGCACCAGTATTTTCCCTACTGAATCCTATCCTCAAGAAAAGCCTACTGTATACAGAAAGTCAGTGCCAAACAAGGACAAGGACAGGGCCAAATTTACAGATCCTCATTTTTCCCCATTCATTTATTCAGTTTCCCCACAGTTAAGAAACGTTTAGATGCAAATGTCAGGTTAATGCTTATGAACAGAATACCTCAAGTGAAAAGGAAAACAATCTATGGGTTAAATATAATATTAAAACATCTACATACTTCAGGCCATACTTCAGGAAAGCTCTCTACTACCTACTACAGAAAACAGCAAGAAAGCAAACCCAACTATCTCAGAAGCCAAGGATCAACTTTGTGCCAATTCCCTAATCTTGCAACTCCCAACCAGGAAATCTCACGATTGAAATACTTTGATAATTGATGACGATGGGTACTTCTCTACTGTAGAGGATCTCATCTACACAAACATGAGGCAGGCGTAGGAGACTAAGTGCTGAACCTGTCATCCTTAGATGAAGTGACTGAGATAGGTGTCCCTTACAACACTGCTTTTCATCATCACTGTTTTAAAAGTGTCTCCAGATGTTGCACGGGTGAGCTACAGAGCCTCTTCAGCACTGAACTGTCCCAAGATTGTAGAAGGAAAAAAAAAAATTTATATATGTATGTATATGTATCTGTCTGGCTCTAAAACTTCTTCCCCGATTTGAAAATACTTATTAAGAGACAGAAACTCTGAAGGAAATGAAAAAGGCTCTACCATTGCTACAAGGCAAAATAAATTGACAAATGAACTATATTCCAC